ATATATATATATATATATATATATATATATATATATATATACATCTGAAGTAGTAGTAGTAGTATATATATATATATATATATATATATATATATATATATAGACAGAGCAGCATAACTGATCGCAGCAACAAACTCTTCGGGATTACTTTTTATTGATCATAAAATACAGCTTAAAACTAGCTCAAATAAAAATATTTTCGATATTTAACGATTTTATTACATACCTAACCGCATATGAGATTCTTAATAGTTTCCAGTGAGCAAATGTCAGTGTTTATTTGCCAAGGATAAGCACTTTGGCGTGTTTTTAAAGTATTTATTTAGCTTATTATCTAGCAGACTAAATTGCGCAAATCGGATTGTTTTATTGTCTATTAAATTAAGCAGCGATCATTGAATCCTACGAAATTACCAGCTACATTTATTGACAATTATATACTTTAATCCATTTCAAACGCTTTGCTAGAGAGCTGAAATTTAGACTACAACAAAATTGGAATCTTAAAGCATGTAGAAAGCCAAGAGCAGCTTAACACTAAAAACATAATCAGTATACGACTTTATTTGTTATTTAAGAATAAAGAGCTCCAAGACAGACATATATATACTTCCGATCTTTAGCAATTTTATTTGCAGGATAACTTAGGTATTTGTGGCGCAATATTTTAAGTACTCGCTCAGAAGCTCAAGCAGTTACAGTTTGACTGTTCAGAGTTCTTATCCAGCATCTAACTACTAGAGCATTCATAGAGTTGCTGAATATATATTAAAAATTTAAAAGAGCAAACAAATTATAGCAGATGTATTAAGTGACAAACTAAATTTAACTAAAACACTAAGAAACTAAATCAAAATATAGAAATTTGGCCTATCGCAGCATATAACTTAGATTCTAAGCATAACTCGAAAATGTTGCTAAGAGCCAAAGACACGATTGAGCTGAAGCCATAAGTAATGCCCAAGTTTGTCATGGTTTTATGAAACGTAGACAAATATTGCTATATACATATATCTCCTACATATTTATTAGGCTTAAAAAATCGCTGGGAATCGCTCAATGGCCTTACTAACCATAAAAGCGATTCAGGAACCAAGTACTCTAACGATATTTGTAACTAATTGTTATATATTTTAGACAATGTCGGCACTGGGGCTGCTATTGCTTGTCGGCGCCCAGGGCACAACCATAATCAGCATTAAGTATCCGCCACAGAGCGCCGACGCCAAATCGCTAGATCGCACACAGCCAGCGAAGAGAGATCTAAGTCTAAGCTATGCAGCCACAAATATTGATTCAAGGGAGGGCACGCGCGTCAAAACGATCACAGTAATCAAGAATGTGGGCGGCCTTGGAGAGTCGAGTGCGGCGAGCAATAAACAACAGAAGCTCGCCATCAATCCCGAGCTGCACAAGAACGAAGAGTGGGCGAATGCCTTTCGCGATAACTTCGAATCGTATGGTGGATTGCCGGAAGTGCCAGACATAGACGATCTATTTGACTTCGTGAATAAGAAAAAGGTCACGCAGCCGACCGAAAAAGAGATAAAGAGGGATCTGAAGCCTACAGAGGGCACGACAAAGGCAACACCACCGCCCTCTCCGCCACCACCACCATCAACAACTAAGGCAACTAGCGAGCATGCCGAAGATGCGGATGACAGTGACGAGGCGACCGTGGAGAAGATCAAGGGCGATGCCGAATTGCTGCCACATATCAAACAGGCGAATATATTGCGACTGCAAGCGTTGGCTGTGAGAAAGCAGCAACAGTTGCAGCAGCAGCAACAGCAGCAGCAACAACAGCAACAGCAGCAACTGGAACAGGATCAGCAGCCAGATCAGCGACAGCGCACACGCGAGTCCCTGATCAATGTAAACTACTCGACGCCCATGCATTCGGTTAGCCAGTTTTTTGAGAACTATGTACAGGTGCTGCCCAATGGCTATGACTACACAAAACCGCAGCAACCACAGCAGCCATGCGCTCTGCCATCGCCTCCAAATAGCATACAGGTGACAACGCCCTCGGGACGCAGCTACAATATACCGCAGAGCAATAGTAGTGGCACCAACGGAGGTGCAAATCATCCCTACCTGGCACCATCTTTGGCTAAGAGAACGCAGATACAACCAGCAGCGCCAGCTCAGCCACAGCCGCAGCCGCAATCACAACAGCCGCCGAATTTCTCCACGGTTAATTCGCTTGTGCCGCCTATTGGGCCGAAGCCGCAGGGCACTAATTATCCAGTAAATGTGCCACAGCAGCAACAGCCACAGGCACCGACTCAAGGCGTGGGTGCAGTTGGAGCTTCCACTAGCCAGCGCCCCTACGTTGCGCCCAGTCTACGCAATAATGGTCTGGGCATAAATCGGGGCCCGTCAACGCCGCAACCGCCTGCTGTGCCATCGTACAACACAGGCAATGTGAATGGTGGCTATCCTACCAATTCATATGGCGCCAATCGTCCGAATACATTTCGATCGCGTGGCTTAAAATATTAAAATACTGTATAATCTTACAACTAATAGATACTTTAAGACTTCTGTTGTGTTTCTGCATTTATATGTATGTATGAAAGCGTATTCCTAAATATACCACACACACACTCACATAGAGTCACATACAGACACACATACGTAACACACATGTCCGAAGGTACAGGCTGGATTAATCAATAACGTTGCCAAAGTGATCCACTTAATTGCAATCGATATGACACGCGATGATAAGCACTTTGTATAGCTGGACCAAGCTGTTAATTAACTATGTATGTTTCCAAAATAGAAGAGTTTCTTGGAGTCGGTGTTATTCGTTGCTGGCGCTGATTTCTACAAAATGTGTTTTTGTCGTCGCACTATGTAGTACACACATTTTTGCCTATGTATGTGTGCATGTATGTACTTTTATCAATGAACTTTTACTCACCAATGGAAAACCATAAAAACGCAACGAAAACTTATTGAGGACCAATGCACAAAGACAGAAGAGCTCGGGGTTTTGGTTTAGCTCAAATGCTATATTTATTTCGTCAATTTCTATTGTTTATCAATATGAAAATGTGAATTTTCTCTCAGCAACACAGCCTAGGTGACTTCAATTGTAGTAGTAACAAAAATAAAATGGCGACTGTGTGGCTTGAATCGATATCACAAAATATCGATATTTGTTTATGCATAAACATAGTTAACTGTGCTTGTGGTGCAATATATTAAGATATTTTAACACGAATTTAATTTATCAGAATTTGTTAAATAAAATTGATAAATATTATATTAAAATAAAAATTACACATTGGTTTATTTATTTTATTCGAATTTTGAGGTAGTTAAATTGTCATTCGCATGTCAAGATATTTATGGTAATTTTATACTTAATATGTGCAGTCACACTGTTTTTCATAGGTCAGCACGGATGCTGATTTTTCCAACCGAGGATTTTTTGGTTTTTATATCAAAATTAGTTGCTTTCACAACACCAAAACTATTCCCCAACAATTTGGAGTCATTTTGAGTCTGTGCTTGCACATTCGACAACTGAAATTTGAGCCCCAAGATCGACATTTTACGCAGCGTAAAACCGAAGTCGTCACACCTTTGGACAGTAATCACACCAATACCATCACAAAAGAAATTATTAGAAAAGGACGGCAAATCAGCAAAAATAAAGCAAAAGCAAAAAAGTGTTATTCAGAAGCAATAAATAAGAAAGCACTAGTACTGAGTCTAGTACTTTTCAACGTTTTCGATTTTCAACTTAAACCGAAAACCACTAGTATAAACTTTTGGAAATATTACGCAAGTATTATTTCTGGGTATATTTGTTAATAATCATGGCTCAATAAAGATGAATCCTCAACGAAAAATTGTCGCGCAACGCACTCCTTGTGGAGACGAACGTCAACGCGAGACGCAAATTGCTGTCGATTGGCAGCAACACACAGCCAACGCACAATCTTCCGCTTTCTTCTATCCTTCCTTCAACGAGCTCTGCGGCCTTAGCGCAGCCAAAAATATCAATTACAATGGAAAACAACAACAAGAAGCAGCCACCACAACAACGTGCAAATAAATCATCGGCTGAAGCACAACGAAAATCAAGTGGTAAGCAAGTCAAATTCTACAGTTGGTTATCTGGTGTCGAAATTTGTGTTTCTTTTCTGACTTGCTTCTTTCTTTCCTGCAGACTTGTATGTTAATAAAACGCGCAATTCTCGACGTCGCGAACAGCTTCCCACACCACGCAACGAGCAGCAACAACGCGGCAGCAAACAACAGCAACAGCAGCCGGGAAAACTACGCGCCAATGTGGACAAGCGTCCACGTGCCCGCGGCGGCGGGAGCGGTGGCAGCAACAACAACTTCGGCTTTGACAACGGGGATGGCATTGCATGCACCGGTCCGGATTACACTTATGGCGGCGCCGGATTAGCATCTGCTGGCGCCGGCTACATGCGTAGTGATCTTGACTATGAGTTAAACTCTGTGTATGCGCACGGCAGCAAGAAGCAGAATCTTAACCATCTGTTGAATTTTCATTGTGTGCCTCGCGAGTCGTCCAGCACATCTGACTGGCATGCCAATGGACATGGTGTGGTGTCGACTCGTCGCCAGCCACGTTACAACAAGGAGCAATTTTTGCAGGCCAACTTTCAGTTTGTTATACGCAGCAGCGCCAAGGCACAGGTGAATGGCTCGCCGGACACGTTGATCGATTGGAATCTTATCGAGCAGATCAATATACATACCACCGAGGAGCCTCAGTGTCCCATTTGCCTCTATCCGCCGGTGGCCGCCAAGCTGACTCGCTGTGGCCACGCCTACTGCTGGCCCTGTCTGCTCCATTATCTGTCGTTGAGCGATAAGACCTGGCGCAAGTGTCCAATCTGCTATGATGCCATCCATGCAGCAGACTTGAAAAGCTGCACCATCCAGCAGCAGCATGCTATGAATGTGAACGATACTATCAGCTTCCATTTGATGCGTCGACGCAAAGGTTCAATGTACATTGAGCGCTATGCAGGCGCAGCCAGCGCTGCTCTTGAGCCGCACGAACGCTTTCCCTTGCTCAGCGCTGGAGATGAGGCTAAGCATTTCTCGAAGTTTTTAATTGCGAAGCGTGCTGACATTGCGGCTATTATTGAACGCGAGCGTCGCGAGCTATCGGCTGAGTCCGATGTATCCTGTCCAGAAGATATTTTTATCCAGCAGGCGCTACTAACACTGAATGAACGTTGCGAAAAACTTGGCTTGGAGCCAGAGGAACAGCAAGCCATCATACAGGTCGTGGAAGAAGAGCAAGTGCAAGCTAAAACTCCAGATATTGATATTGAACAACTAGACGAAGCTTCCGTCTCATCCTTGGGCGAGGCGAGCAGCAGCAGCAGCTCCAACATCAACAACTGCACTAAATATTATTATTTCTATCAATCGAATGATGGACAATACATCTACTTGCATCCATTGAATGTGAAAATGCTGCAGGCATGCTATGGAAGCTTGGATCTGGCTCCAGTGCTCATCAATGCACAGATCATACAAAAAGAGCATCACTCCATGGACGAGGAACATCGCCGCAAATTCACTTGCTTGGGTCATTTGCCTTTGACCTGCCAGTTTGCTGTGGTGGAAGTGGAGCTGCAGCCTCCAATTATATCGGCCAGCATACTCAAGTTATTCAAGGGTAAGTGGGGAGGAGAGATATGTATGCAAAGAGATTTATTTGATTCTTCGATTCTCAGATGATATATTACATCGCAAGAAGGAGCGTCAGCGCCGCGAGCGTGAGGAACGTAAACGTGAACAGCAAATCAATGAGATAAATGACCGCCAGATGGGCAAACTTATAGCCAGTTCAGCCAATTTAAATCTGAGCTCTACTGATGAATTTCCAACTGTGCGTAATTATTTATATATCTGTCGGTATAAACACAAACCTAATCTTCTTTCAATTACATTTGCAGTGTGGTTTCGAGGAGGATTTGCCTGTACCACGCGGTGCTGTACCCATTACTATTGCCCAGGCAACGAGCAGTCCTCGTTACTCAAGCGTGGCTGCCAGTCCCAAGCAAGAATTGTGGCCTACCATTGGAGCAGCCTCGCCTGGCGGCTCTGCAGGCTTGCGTCAGTGTGCTCCAGATTTTCAGGTGGGCGCATGGGGTCGTGCTGCACCGGCGCCGCCAATAATTCAATCAACTGTAGCCAGTCGCGTGACTTCGGAAGAGGATCATGAGCTGCGTACTGTAGGTCCCTGGGCTCTGGGAGAGTTGCTTGTGGGTGCATTGGGTCAACAAAAGCATCAACAGCGTGCGGGCAGGCAGAATACTAATGCAGTAGATGCTGTGGCCAGCAAGAAGCAACAGAAGAAGGCGAAGGGCAAGAAAATGGTACCGCTCTTTGCTGTAGGCATGAACAGAGCTCCGTAGGCTGGGCTAGAATAGATCCATAACGCTATTAATTCAACACTCGTAATACATTTGTCATAAGAAATTTTTGTTAACAGCGCCAAGATCGCGAGACTATTTTAATGTTATTTCAAATAACAAGTTTCTGAACCATAAAAACCTTTATAATTTAATTATATCATATGTATTTCGCATTAATATATATAACAATATATAATCAATAAAGATGAGCATGGCAAATATCTAAAAATTATTCTCCAATATTAAAAGAAAATGCATGGGAAATGTTGCGTTGCTTTCAATTTCATTTTATTTCTCCAAAATATATTCAACAAAGCATTTTGTTTATTTTAAATTTTATGTTCTGCAAAACTTATGTTTGCATCTAGTTTTTATTTCTTTTGTTTTCTTAGAATGTGTATTTTTTTCCATTTTATATATATGCATGTATTTTATTTTATATTGTATTCATGTTGGTGTTGTTTTCAACTTATAGTTAAGGTATTACGCGAAATAATTTAATATAAATAATTCTAAATAGTTTTCATTTATCCTTTGACGCAAAAATTCATTTAAGGCTTCATACTATAAAATGAGTCTTGTATTGGATTTTCTTTACTTTTCCTTTTGCTACACAGCGTTTCTCTCTTTGCAAAATGTTTGCTGCCTCACTCTTCCTTATTCGTTTCCACTTCTCTTTTGGCTAAAAATTGGCTACAGGATAGTCTTAAGGGTAAACAGGTGCAGGTGCAGGTGCAACTAAAGCTAACACGACAGAATACCACTTAGTTTAGTACAGCTAAAGCATATTGCAATAGTTTGTGTTGTGTGGGAAATGAAATGCCACACGAGTTAATCGCACGAAAAACAATTTAATAAATATATAATAGCTTCAGTAGATAGTGAAAGTGAAACTAGCCAAATCTGAAATCTAAAATATGGTTGCTTGCAACGCATTCCCACTACAACTAGCTAATTTAATCAATTGCTACGCCGCTCTACGAATTCCGCATCGTACCCGGTATCATCGTCATCGTCGTCGTCGTCGTAGTCGTCCGGCGAGGAGGCAACCGCCGAGCGGCTCTGATAGCTGGGCCTGGCCAGCGAGGAACGCTTCTGGCTGTTGCCATTCAGGGAATTTGTGCTGCCTCCGCTGTACTCTGCGGGCAGTTCCAAATACTCATCGGAATCATTGCCATCGTCCAAATCATCGCCATTTACCGAGCCGGTTGGACTGCCAGGCGGGCTGAGTGCTTGGATAAGCTTCCCCTTTGACTCGTTCCACAAATGATTCAGACGCTCCCGACCGAAAAGCAGAAGGAACGTGTCAATGAATTCGCGTGATTTTTCTTCCCATTTGGTGATAATGTCGCCCTTGACTTTGGTCAATTCGCGTTTGCCGCGCGACTTTAGCTCATCCATTTTGTTTTGCAAACGGAATTTCTTCTCGGACAAAAATGAAACGTTGAGCTCCTTGGCGGAATAGCCGCGTGCGAGATTGCGACGCACATACAAATCATAATCCTTAACAATACGCGCCACAATGTCCGAAGTGGATACGCCCTCGGTACGCTCCGTGGCGACGAACATGCCACGCGCCTTCAACGGACCATAGATGTCATCCAGGCCATCATGTACATAGGGAATGTCATCGTGAGCCACAAAGTCAATTTTATTTTGCGCAATGAACTCATCCGATAGGGTCCACGGGGCATTCTGAACAACCTGCAAATTAATTGAAAGGACTTGAGTAAGAGACAATTTTGGTCGTCCCTGTAGCACTTACCTCATCAACGTAACGGCAATGACGCACTCCCTCATAACGCTCGAAGCCATTCATTACAGTGCGTCCCTTCATGCGATGCGTGAGCTCATCATTGCAAACTCCCACAATCAAATAGACGTTGGGAAAGATGTTTTTGGCTTGCATTAGCTGCCTGGCATGGCCCTGATGGAACAGGTCGTAGATACCATCCGCATACACGCGTACGCGACGATTCGTCTTTCCGGAGCGGGCCATCTGATAGGTAATCCGCTGTGTATAATCGCAACGTTCGCGTTCCAATATGGCTTCCTCATCGGAAGAAAAGGGCGCTGGCTTGCAAATTGTCTGTCAAAAGGAAAGAAAAGCGAAAAATGATGCTTAGTCAAGAAAATCTTTAACAGCTTTCCAGGACCTTACAAACTCCTTAAAGTCCATGTGCAGCGGTAACATTTTGTACTCAAATATTGGTGGTGTCACCGGCGACTCTTCCTGATCGGACATTTTCAAGAATTTACTTTGTTTTCCAATTTTTTCTTATATGGTTTGTATATACTTGTATCGAATATAAATAATATATTTTGTTTATAGCTGTCGTATCACAGTGAAAATACGATCTGCTTGGCTTGCTTACAGCTGTCTAACTGAGAGCTCCAGGCGGTAACTGTTTCCACATTGCCAACCTAGACAGCTACAACAAATGCTCGGCTCACTGCGACTAGCTGTCGAGGATTCCGATTGGCCGATTCAATTGCGCAGCGGCTTTCAATTAATTGGCGGCAACTGCTTCCAAATCAATACAATTGTCAATTGTCAACAATAAAGCGGACGGAAGGACGGCCGAGAGATGGAAACCTGACCACAAATTTCAATTGACTCAAATTGAACGAACGCATAAATATGACGATGATTATACACACGTATGTATGTGTATATATGTGTGTGTGTGTGCATCTCTATATTTACATAGGGAAAATGCCTGGCACTAGTCTCGCACGACTTGGCACGACTTGACACGAGGCACTGCTCTCATCAACATCAGGCGATATCGTATGATATCGCACTCAGTTAATGGTGAGCGCGAACAGCCAATCAAAGTGTCGTCAATCAAATTCACAGCAGCGCAGACAAACTAATTGCCAAAAAAAAAAAAAAAAATCAGATCACTTGTCTATAAATGGACATGTTGCAGAAAATATAATGAAAATTAAACGATAAACGAACTAACAGTACTTAAAGCTAAACTGATTCAAAGTCACGACACAAAGTTTGAAGTTGAACCGAACCGTTAGAAGGAATGAATGAACCTTGCCGAATGGCAGGATGCTGGTTCACAGCCTTGCAGTTCGAAGCCCTGGTTCACGTATGTTAACAAGTTCAAGCTTAATGGAGCCTCACAAGCCAAACCTTAACCCAGAAATGGAGTCAATTTTCTGTTTGTAGGTGTCTAGCCCTGGTTTACTTTAATATATTTTTTAAAGGCTAAAAGCTAAATATAAAAAATGTGTGTAAATGCAAATTACAAAAAAAAAGACCCCCTAAACATTTGTCACGAATATTGCCCATTAAAAAGTTAATAACTTGTGTCAAGCGAAATGAAAAAAAAAAAATGCTTAAACACATTAATTTAAAAAAAAACAGACATTTGACACATACACATACATACAGACACAATATACAAATATACATACTTACGTATACTAATAAATATGTGTCTATGAATGTGTATGTGTATCGAAATCATTTCACGCTCGAATAATCATCGGCACGAGGAAATTAAATTAAAAGTATACATACATACATACATATATATTTAAAAAATATGAGTAATGAGTTGATGTTTCTGTAAGTTTTTAACCGACCGCAAGTTATCTAACAGTTACGTAACGTTAACTTAAAATCCTTTCTATATTATAATTAATATATAAAACATTTTCTAGCCGTAATAAGTTATTAAAATAGCCAATCAAAATGTGCGATAATCCAAGTTATTTCCCAGTTATTGAGCATCAACAATTCGCAAGAATAAATTATATGTTTCCCCGCCCTTTCATTTTCTTTGAAAACGGCAAGATAAAATAGAACAAAGACGTATTTTTATAGAAATGATTCCAAACTGCAAATTTCTGTTTACAGCCTCCAATGATGATGCAATCTTCTATAATATGACCTTGTGAAAGGCAAAACATTTCGGTTGCTATCTCGCTTGCACACTTACCGCTAGATCTGCAAATCCGCTGCTGTTGAAAGATTGGTGGGTGGAGGATGCGGCCATTGTTGAGGACGTCAACGGAGTTGGAGTCGGTGTGGACAGTAACATTGGTGGTGGGGACGGCAGCAAAAGTGGTGGAGATGTGGGCCGAACATATTTGCGCTTGACTCCAGTGCTGCCATTGAGATAATCTTCGGATACCGCCGTCGTGGAGCAGGCGGGCAAGGTGTCATCCGGTGCGGTGGCCTCGACGCCATCATCCGCATCGCTCTGTGAGATTGTGCGCGTAATATCGCGCAATGTAGTCGCTGCATGTGGCTCTGTCATGTCCACAATTACCGCCTTATCTGGGCTAGGACTAGGAGTACTCGCCTTAGCCGGGGGCGTGGCTGTGCTTGTGCGTTGCATTGTCGTCAGTTCTTTGGCGTCCATAGCGGGCATAGTAATGGCTGTCTCGTAGGTGCGCTTGCGAGTGCTTAACGTCGACGTGACAACAACGGCGCTGGCAGCAGCTGCAGCAGCTGAGGCAGTTGCGCCGGCGTTAATTGTGTTGTTAGTGTTATTTGCTATTACCGATGAAGTTGCCATCGCAGCGTCTCTGTTGCAGCGGTCGCGGCAGTTTTCCCGATTTTACTCTAAAAACTTGTACACACTAAAATAGAAAGTACTTTCGTTGTTGTTGAAAATCTGCAATTAGAAAGAACAAGTGTATACATAAATAAATTAACGAACACAGATAAAATCGCGTCTGTAATCTGATGTAAATTCATTTGTGGCACTGATGCTTGCTCTTCTTCTTGCTGGCTGTGGCGGATGCGACACGTGACATTTTCATTAAATTACTGCCGGATGCCATGGACAAATCAATTCGCTTTAATTGTCATTCGTTTCGTTTTGCCACGCGCGTTTTGACACAATGCACTAAAGCAATAGTAATAAAAAATAAAATAAAAAGAAGCAGAAGGTGAAGAATGTTCAAAAACAACAACACATTCTGGCACGTATTCAACGCTCAGAGGGAGAGAGAGAGAGAGAGCGTGAATCCGTTCTCTCTGCTTGACGATGATCATGAGTGAATAAAATAGAAAGTAAAACCTGAAGCAAGCAGCAGTTGAACAAACACCGTTATAGTCAAGTTCGATGATAGGGCAAAGCACACAAATGTATATGTATGAATATTTATATACAATCAATACATAGAAACAACACACAGTTTATTAATTAAAGT